CTACTCTGGGCTGGAGAGATGACTCGGCTCACAACCCAAAAGACAAACTATCCTACCTTCAGAGACCTTATATTCTACAGTTAAAATAGAGGCCACACCCCCTTACCCCAGAGGAAGATAGCTTGTTCTTGTGAGTGGTCGGGGAGGAGAAAACCATTCTGTTTTCTTGTCACCCACCATTGAAAACAAGAGGCACTGAGTCAGTGTCCAGGGGCCCTGGTGACACTAATGTTTCCTGTTGGGTTCATGTTGTTTTGCAGGAGTGCGCTACAGCCAGCAGGGAAACAATGAGGTCACTTCCTCTTCAACAATCAGTCACCATGGCAACAGTGCCATGGTGACCAGCCAGTCGGTTTTACAGCAAGTCTCCCCAGGCAGCCTGGACCCAGGCCACAGTCTCCTCTCACCTGATGGTAAAATGGTGAGTACACCTGGGCCATTGTAGCCCTGGAGCCGATAAGATAAGAGGCAAAACAAATACAACTTCTCACAAGGCCTACCTCAAACAATGAACCATTGTAGCCCCACAGGGGAAAATGGGGGCTGTCCAGAGCAGGAACGGAAAGGCAGACTGGTGACCCAGCCTTTGGCGGGTAGAAGAGGTGTTCAGTTTGAACCCAGCCAATAAATCTGACAGAGCTCTGCTCTCATTTTATTGATTGAATGCCTCATAAAGGAGCGAGCCGGGTGGGACGCTGTTTGTTTTGGGGCTGCCAGTGACATTTGTGTTGATAAAATGTTCATTCATCCTTCCCTCCAAGGCCTCCAAAACCAGATTTTTTTTTTTTAACCCAGAAAGCACCTCATTTTGAAACAAGCCCCCAGACTCCTTTTGGTCCTGATGAGGACAGTATCAGGTTGTAGCGGATGGCAGGAGATGGCAGACGTTTCCTGAAGGGAGAGGAAGGTCATAATGACAGGTGCAGTGGGGTGGCACCTGGAGTAAGAAACAGTGACTCTGAAGGTACAATTACCTACTCTCAAATCTCAGCTCTGGCACTTCACAGTGGTGCAGCCTTGGGCAAATTACAGAACTACTTTGGTTCTCTTTTCCTCATCTATAAAATGGGGGTAACAGCAATAGTGTTGTGGAGGAAGTGTGATAACGTGTCGGAAAACACACTCAGCATTTCATGAATGGCCGTGCTGTTGCTTCAGCGTCAGCTCCATTTTCACTGAAGTTTTCTCTACCTCTAACCACAGCCCCACACCTGGATGAACCCTATCCTGCCCAGTAAGCCCCACTTGAATTTCCAAGGTTCTAATTCTTCTTCTTCTTCTTCTTCTTCTTCTTCTTCTTCTTCTTCTTCTTCTTCTTCTTCTTCTTCTTCTTCTTTTTTAATACATTTAACTTTTATTGAATTTGTTCTTTGACAACTTCATACGTGTATATGGTGCATTCTGATTCCTGTCACCCTACCTTCCCTAAACCCATCTATATACCCACCCACCCCCACCACCATCCTAGACCCATTCCCCAATTCATGTTTTTGGCAACACAAGGGCACAGGAGAGGGCTTTTGAGACAACAGGAGTATTACGACACCAAGGGTAGGAAATGGAAAACTTTATTCTCTGGGTCATGCTCTGTTTCATGGGAGGGAGGAGCTAGGGTTCCTGACTTCCACGCTGAAGGTGGAGCTGCACACATTCCCGAAAGGTACCCGTCCCCCACCCCCATCTCCTCACTCCCCCACCGGTGGTCAGTGGGGGCTGGAGGATAACAGGGAGCCCTTGCCATTTTAGTCCTTGGTGTGTGTGCTGTGTAGGCAACACAGGAGTGAGTCACAGCTGACCAAGTCTCCATCCAGTTCTTTGGAAGAAAAACAACATGTAGGTCCTGGGGGGCGGGGTGGGCTGATCTGGACAACTCCAGTTTCAGGAGACCGGAGCTGGCCTCTTGTGGGAGTCTTTGTAAACAAAAATAATGGGGAAACCTGGTGGGAAGCTTTGCTCAGCTCTCTTGTGTTCTTCCCTACCCCCTAAGAGAGACCCTTCCTCCCCACCAACATCTGCCCCCACTACCTTGTAAGAGGCATATATGTCTTTATGGTTTCTTGTTTCCTTTAGTGTTTTTTAACCTTTATTTTATGCGAATGGGTGTTCTGCCTATACATGTGTCTGTGTACCATGTGTGTTGGACCTCCTGGGACTGGAGTTACAGACAGGTGTGAGCTGCCTTGTGGTTGCTGGGAATTGAACCCAGGTCTCCCAGAAGAGTAGTCAATGCTCTTAACCCCTGAGCCATCTCTCCAGCCCCCAGTCTTTTGATTTCTTAACAGTCATGTAAAAACACAAACAAGTTAGGGTTAAAGCATTACGCAGGCTTCCCTGGTAGAAGTTCACTTTACTTCTCAGTGAACTAAGAACTCCTAGGTGGGGCTGGAGAGGTGATTCAGTGGTTAAGAGAACAGGCTATTCTTTGTCCCTTCAGAGAACCTGAGTTCAACTCCTAGCACCCACACAGTGGCTCACAACCGTCTATCCGTCTATAAGCCCAGTTCTATGGGATTTGATGCCATCTTCTAGCTTCCATGGGCACTAGGCACTCTTGTGATGAACAGACATTCATATAGGCAAAGCATTTATACACAGAGAATAATAATAATGATAATAAACTCCTAGGGTTAGAGATGTCTCAGGGGTAGAGGTGTGTTGCCTAGAGGAATGAGATGCCAAGAACTGAAAAAGTAAAATAAAATACAATTCCAAGTCTTATTTCTTATTACTTAAAGGTCCTTGGAATCTGTCTTTGAGTCTCTTGGGCTTCTCTAAAGCAGAGTCAGCATTGCTCTCACTGGGCAATGTGCTATCAGATTGATGATTGACCAAGACAGCACACCTCGATGTTAACAAATATCTGGAAGTTTGTTTGCAGGGACCAGCTTCTCACTTGTCTCCAACACCTTGGTTCCTATGTTACATCACTATTGCCAGGTGCCCAAATTCAAGAGTCTATTCTCTGTTAATGTATAACGAGTGCATCCCAGATTGTGTTCCGCCAACACAAGAGTGGAATATGGCCTAAAAAGAACATGATGGAGCTGGAGAGATGCCTCCGAGGGTAACATACTTGCTGCATAAGCATAAGGACCCAGGTGTGGATTCCCAGAACCCACATAAAACTGGACACAGTAGGAAAGGAGGGAGATGGGATGAGAGGATGAGAGAGTCCCTTAAAGCTTGCAGGTCAGCTAATCTAGATAGCCTGGCGTTAGAATGGCAAGCATCAGGACTAGCCTGTCTCAAACAAGGTTGAAGGCAAGGACCAACATCTAAAGTTGTCCCCTGACCACACACATTATGCTGTGGAGTATGTGCTTGAAGTCACAACAAGTGGCACCACACACACATACACACACACACACACACAGAGAGAGAGAGAGAGAGAGAGAATGAGAGAATGAGAGAATGAGAGGAGCATGGTCCAGGGAATCCAAATATGCAGTCTTGGCTTCTGACATATACCAACAATAGGGTCAAAGAATTGCTTAGCTTCAGTGTCTTCAATTGCAAAATTGGAGAAATGACGTCGTGTGATAGAGTTGGTGTAAAGATTTCTTACAGCTCTCTTTGGGAGTAAACCTTCCCCTATGCCAAAATAGCATAGCTATTAAGGCTGTAATTTGTGTTTGCTGATTTTTTTTTTTTAACTCATGCAATACTTTGGCAGTATTAAGTCAGACCTTGGAGGCAGATCACCTGCATTCAGCTATGGTCTTACCAGTTGAGACCTTTCTTTCTTTTTATTGAAAAAAAAAAAAAAAGGTTAGGGACATTTCTTAAACTCTCTAAATTTTACCTTCTTTCTCTGCAAGATAGGGCTAGTAGCCCAAACCTCACATGTTGTGGGCACATAAAGAAATTACCGTATCAAAGGTATTATATAATCCAGGTTCTACAAATGGTTATGTTAAGGGTCATCATGGTATCTTTGGTAACTCTCTGGCTTCCTTCCATCCTGGAAGCAAGCAGAAAGTAATGGCTACTTCTTAGAGAGGGAAGTCACTTGACCAAGGTTGCCAAGCATAGTAAGTGGATGAGATTGAAAATCTGGCAAAACTTAACTTGAACTTGGGCTCCCTTGCTTACTGTCCAGTGACATACAGTTCATCTGTTATGTCTCTTCAAAGGATCAGTTTCTTAATATGTAACTCAGTGACAAAAAAATCATAATGTTTGCCCTTTTTGTGTCATTATGGACTAATAGCAAAACATTTTTTATCATTGACACCCACTTTTCTGTTGCACCCATCAAACTGAAATGCTGAGGGGGGTGACCTATGCTCCTCCATTGACTTTCCCCACAAGACCCTATTACCCAAGGGATTTGGTCTGAGGGCAGGTCACAGATTTTTTTTTTTTTTTATGACTCTGACATTTTGAAAAACAAGTCCAGCAAACAGGCTGGTTCTCTCTTGTTTGGTGTGGTCAAAATTCCTTATTGGTCATGTGACCTCTAACTCATTTCTTGATGTTCATTTTAAAAACACAAACCAAACCATTCAAGATCCCACCCACCCACCCCCTTCCTTCTTTTTTCAAGTTAACCTTGGAGAGTGTGAGGTTGACCAGAAGGACAGGGTGGGAGCTATCATCTTTCCAGGTACTAGTATGAGACCGAGAATCTGACAGACTCTAGGGAACAGAAAGATATAAATAAGGGAGCTGGTTCTGTGATGGACCCTCTTCAGGTTCCCTAGTGCTCTCAGCAATACCTGGGTCTTTTCTTAAGAAAAACGATTAGAGCCAAGCCATGGTGGCTTTAATCCCAGCACTCAAGAGGCAGAGGCAGGCAGATCTCTGGGAATTTGAGGACAGCCAGAGCAACACAGAAAAACCTTGTCTTGAGAAACCAAAAATTAGAAGTTATTTCAAAACTGTGAATGGTAAACTATTATGAAAAAGTATGTATATAAAACTGATTTTTATATATGATTATAACTAGCAAGAGGATATTAGAAATATTTCTGATTAATATTGGAGTCAAAATAACACATTTTTTAAAATGGTTTTTATTTAGTACTATGGAGAAAGTTCCATCAGTGGGTTTATAAACAACATTTGTTAAAGCAAGAACGAGTCCCTGGCAGGATTTGATGCTTGTTATATAATGATACACCTGGAAAGATGAAAAATAGGAAAGGATATCAGTAGGGACAAATAAAATACAGCAGTTATGTGCAAATTACATATGCAAGAATTGGTCACTTCCACCTATGAATCTGCTGGTAAAATGTGATGGTGAAAAACAATGGCAACTGGGTTAGTTGTCTTGTCATTAGTAGTATCAGCACTTTGAAGATGGAGGAGAAGGAGGAAGGAAGAAGGAAGGAGGGAGAACAGTTTTAAAGTATGGTGAAGATTTGGGGACAAACACCCCCCCCCCCCAGTAATTAGTGTGGGGAAAAGCAGAAGATCCTCCTAGGTCAGACTGAGCTTGACTTGAAGAACAGGTGTACTGTTTCCTAGCTTCAGGATCTCAAACAGGATGCATAGCTACTCTTGGTCTCAGTCTTTCATCTGGGAAATGGGCACATCAGAACTCTCGGGACACAGTGAGCTGATGCATGACAAGGGCTCCGGGAGCACTCTGTACTCCTTCCTGGTTCCTAGTCTAACCTCGCTAGGGCATTGCCTCAGTTTTATTTTTAGCAGACACCTATCTCTAACATCAACAACATAAAGGGTAGGAAATCAGGATGCAGGGCACCTGAAGAGTGAGCATGTGACAGTCATGTAACATATGAACAGGAAAACTTCTGAAGCAAGCTGGCAACTTGCCATGAGGACAGAGCCCTGACTGTCACTGCTCTCCCCTCGGTGTCTAGAATGGAGGCCACCCCACTGTTGAGCTTTCATTGTTATGTGAATGAATAAGTTGCAAAGTCATAGCAGTCTGGAAACGGCCCTTAGTGCTTTAACCCTACTCACGCTGCTCTTCTTTGTCCTCTCCAGCAGATCACTGTCTCAGGAGGAGGACTGCCCCCCGTCAGCACCTTGACAAATATCCACAGCCTCTCCCACCACAATCCCCAGCAATCTCAGAACCTCATCATGACCCCCTTGTCTGGAGTCATGGCCATTGCACAGAGTAAGTTCCACTCTTGGTCAGAAAACCTGAGGGCAGGGAGAAAAATGAAAAGCAAATCAGCGTGACAGGAATAGGCACAAAATGCCCCATGTGAGACATACGCTCCTGCCCCTAGAGGTTTTTCAGGGTAGAGTGGCTGAGACAGGGCATCACTATCAAGCTGGCCTTGAACTTGCAGCTATCTTCCTGCCTATGCCTCATGGCTGGGCTCACAGATATGTTCGGTTGTTCTCAATACACTTTTGATTTGATTTTAGTTCTTTGGCTTTTTCTCTCTCCTCTACAATGTCTATCATACATGTATCCTACAAGAGATCTTTTCTAATGGCTTTGAATCCAGGTCACAATTTACTTATGCACAATTTAGTTATGCAGCCAGTTCAAGTTGCTAAACCCTTCTGGGGTTGGATTTCCTTGTCTATAAAATGAGTTGGTAACGTTATTCGGTGATAAGGAATATAGACATGCTTGTAAATCCAGAAAGCAAGACCTCTCACAACTGTGGTTTATACGCTTGTTTCCTGTTCATTCCTAACCCTGTGTATTCTCTAGGAAATTCTTGGGGTTGGTGAGGATGGAGCAAGGTTTTGATGGGTTTCTGAAGAAGTCCTTTTATGTCATAGGCAAGTCCTGTAAAATTGCAGAGGACCCAGAAAGGGCCCCTGAACTAGCATCTCTGAGCTTTCAAGCTTTTAAAGAGAGGTGGGTTGTTTAACATTGCCTGAAGATGGTGGGGTGGGGTGGATCAGGTCCTTCTAGCTCAAGCAGGCTCTCATTCTGCAGCCAGCCTTGCTCCATCAGAGGGGGGCATTCCCAGCTATGGGAAGGCAAACTGTAAAACAGAGGGTTTGGACTTTTTTCAGCTTCACCATCACCAAACATCTGAGGGTTTGGACATTTTCCTCTTTGCTGTGACCACTAGGCAGTCATTATTTCTCATCTTTGTAACCTGAGGAAATCTTCCTTAGATGGATCCAGAGATACCTGAAGGTGGCATGTCATTCATAATTTTCAACTTTGCACTGCCCATGGTCCTCTTGGCATCCAGGTGTCCAGGGCCCCATGCTGATTGCTTCCTTGTCTTGTTCCTGCGTTTTGCTTCCCTCCCCTCCCATCTCCTAAGAACTAGAATCACATAAGAGAATGCCTTCTTTGAGGGCAGAATAGGGCAGGGGCCATTGAAAGCACATGGATTTATTGAATCATGTGTGTGCAGCTCTTACCCTGTCCTTAGCTGTTAGGATGGAAGCACACTCTGCATTTACTTTTGCAGAAGGGAAATGGGAATAAAGAGATCTTTAGGAGATTCAAAAGTAAAAAATTACCTCAAATTCACTTCTATTTCACTGGCCCTTCTGGTACACAGACTACAGTAGCCAGACTAATACCAGGACTTGGATAAAGAGTGAGATGGCTTAAACCAGCTTGCTTACCTTCCTAAAGTTCATGGGTTTGGGGTGATGGCTCAACGGGTAAAAGTGCTTATGTGCCACCAAGTCTGATGATCTGAGTTTAATCCGAAGAACCCACATAAACATGGAGAGAACTGACTGCTGAAAGTTGCCCTCTGATCTTTGACCTATACATGTTCATGCCTACACACACACACACACACACACACACACACACACACACATAGGAGGGGGAGGCCTATGGATAAAGTATCTATTTCCTTATTTCTTCAAACAAAGTAGTACACAAATTGTCCCTCTTTCTTCCCAAACCAAGCTTCGACTAAGACACACACTCAACTGTATCAGTTTAGGTGCTGTCTGAGCCAAAGCTTTGCCTGGGGCCATTCTGTATTTTCCACGTTTGTTCTTCCCATCATGTGCACCCGGGCATCTCAGCCTCCTCACAGTGTCTCCTGCAGCATGTGGACAGGGTGCACACTGACCTTAGGCACAGGTGCGCATGTGCACTGGGGTAGACAGAGCATAAAGAAGGGTGAGGATTGCCAGGAAGTTTGGCTGAGACCCAGTGCCCTCCTCTAAGGGAGAGTCAGTTAGAGAGGTTTCTTGTTTTCTTGTGTATGCCAGCTCCCTCCTCAGCTCTGCAGGACTCTGGACAAGTGACTTGTCACTGCCAAATCTTCATTATCTTTGCTTCTTCCGGATAAAAAGGCCACAAGTCATACGCCCTGGAGGAGCTAGGATGACATCAGAGGTTCTCAGACCTGGAACAGACGCACACTGGGATCTCAGACTGTCGAAAATGAGATTCCTGGGCCCCACCTCTGCAGGTTTTGACTCACTGAGTCTTGGGCGGGGCCCAAGAATGTATATTTCTTAAAGAGGTCCCCTGGGTGGCTCAAAAGCTCAGGCATGTTTCCGAACTGTGCCTTTCAGTGTCATCCAGTCTAGATGTGTTCTTTCCTGGACAGAGACTTCCCTATGAGAGTAGTGGGCATGGGCTCCTGGATAAACAGAAAATTCATAAGGTTTTCTGGGAGCCAGAGGCTGTCAGTAAGAGGAAGGAAATTGAAACAGTAACAGGGTGTCAGGTGAGATGCACACTTGGGGAGAAGCTGAGTTCCCCAAGGAAGTAATATTCTAGTGATATTCTGAGGGTGATCAGAAGAACCATCACCCCACCCCACCCCCATCAAGTACCACCTAGGGGAGCCAGGAAGAGGGTTATCTGTTCTTCCTTTCTGCTCAAGGATCTCACCTTTTAACTTTCTGATAACAGTATCTGCTAGAGCTCCAAGTGGGCAATTGTTAAGACTGTGCTGTCTCCCTGGAGGACGTCCCACAATCCTGCTTAAGCTTTCCAAGTGCTCTCCCTTGCAGGAAAGCTCTCCTCCAGACCTCCCCTCTGCAAAAGGCCTTTTTCTGGATTTCCCCTTTTCATCACATCCTCCCACCCCTGACTTCCCAGAAAGCTAGGACTAAGGAGTATTGGCAGCTCTGGAACAGAGACTGGGGGAATGTCTCTGTTCATCCTCTGGCTTCCACTCTGATCCTGTCTCATCTTTCCCAGGGCCACACCAGGGAGCAACTAGATTATGGAGACAAGGAGACCCCAGCCTTGCAGTAGTGGCTGGGATTCAAAAGAGGTCTCTGGATATAGGCCTGATACCAAAGCACAGAGGTTCCCCATGTCCCCAGAACCGAAGACCAGACCTACTGTCACATATTTAACTTATTGCTTCCTCCTCCTCCAATCTAGTTCTTCAGGTACCAAAAGCCCTAGCATATGTCCACGTCACAGACAGGCTGAGGTCTTCTGTTTTCTTCCTCTCTCTGCTACTGACAACAGAGTCAGTCCAGCCTCTTCCAGGGGCCTTGTGGGCTCTACTGTGTATCCTCAGACCTCTTCCTTCCAGGACTGTGGAAGAAGGTTTGGTTTCCTTTGACTTGAGGTAGTGGGGTTAGGGTATGCAGGGCAGAGGGGGCTGCTGCATACTGCTGCCCTCTACTGGAACGACAGATCTGAGTAATAAGCCATACCCTAAAGTGAACACCCTTAACTAGAGGACACCAGGGCAGGCATCTCACAGTCCAGCATGTGCAAAGCTGGCAAACAGAGTTGGCTTTCCCAGAGCTCTGGTGCCTCCAAAGGAGCTGAATTTTGGAGGTCATTGGATGATTTGGAGAGACTCTCAGGCTTTGGAAATTTTTCTCTCCAGGTCTTGGTTTCCTTGTTTGCAATCTTCGGTGCAGTCTCTTCCATAAAAGGCTCAGCCCAATGATATATACACCAAGTAGGGGCTCCATGTATGACAGATGCTGTCCCTGTCACATCTGTTCATCCATGGTACCACTCTGACTTTTCTCTCCTGCTCCCACAGGCCTCAACACCTCCCAAGCCCAGAGTGTTCCAGTCATCAACAGTGTGGCCAGCAGCCTGGCAGCCCTCCAGCCTGTCCAGTTCTCCCAACAGCTACACAGTCCTCACCAGCAGCCCCTTATGCAGCAGAGCCCAGGCAGCCACATGGCCCAGCAGCCCTTCATGGCTGCGGTGACTCAGCTACAGAACTCCCACAGTAAGGATACACACGTGCCAGGGTTGGAAGTTTCTTGGAAGATTACTGGCTTGGTTTTCCCAATCTATTAGCAACCAAGGCGATTTCTCAAGTCAGATCTTGGGATGTTGTTCTTGCTTTTCTATCCTCTTCTCTGGCCCCAAGGCTCCAAGGAGGGAAGTTTGCAGAGGAACATAGAGGCCTACTATCAAAGGGCAAAACACGTGAAACACACAGCAGTTTCTCATCCCAGGCCCTTGAAAAATCTCACCAATTGGCCCCAGCACTCTCCCTCAGCATCACCTTTGCAGCCATCCCCAGGTGGGCAGAATTGGTATGCAGCTTGTGATCTATTTGCCTCTCTAAAACAGAGGAATTTTCTGGAGTCTTAAGTGCCCATAGCCTACACACCCTGGAAATCTCTAATTGAAAACCATGAAGCTTGGGTGGAGATACAGCTCAGTACTAGAATACTTGCCTAACAGGCATGAGGCCCTCAGTTCAATCCCTGGCACTGAGGACAAAACAGACAAGGGCTAGAGAGATACCAAAGTTAGTAAAAGCACTTGTTATGTGAGCATAAGAATCTGAGTTTGAACCTCCAGAACCCACACCAAAAATCTGGGTGTGGTGACATGTGCCTATAATCCCAGCTCTGGGGAGTACGGACAGGTAGATCCCTGGGGCTCACTAGCCAACAGCTTAGCATACGTGGTGAGTTCAGACCAGTGAAAGATCCTGTCTCAAAAAACAACACATACCACACCAGAGGAGCAATAACTGAGGTCATCCTCTGGTCTACCTACACTTGCATGCAGGCAGACACACACACACACACACACACACACACACACACACACGCGTGCACCCACACATACATGAACATACACTCAGCATAAAAACCAAACAAATTAAAGCCATCAACCAACATGGAAAATATCACCTGTCCTCTACCAAGCCAAGGAGCACCAGAGTCTCTGCCCCTTGCACAGAAGGTCCCCACATTCGGGTTTTTTTGCCTCCATATCCCTGCCTTCCATCCTGACCTCAGGCCTCCACTATTCTGGCCAAGCCTGGCTATAGCCCCAATTTTCAAGTTAAGAAATTATAGAAGGGAGGATGGATGTCTTGCCTACTTCAGGAAGTATCTGGTCTAGACTAGTCTTGGTAGCTGTATAGCCACCAGCTACTCTGAGTCTCGGTTTCTCCATGCATAAAATAGGAATAGTGTGCTTATGGAGTAATTATGAACATGAAATAAAAATATGGGTGACCTGCCTTTCATCAGCCTAAAGCATTGAAGAAATGCAAGTATGTTTACTAAGTCACTCTTAAGAGGCAAGGAGGGCAAAGGGGATCGGAGTCCTTCCTCCAGCTGCCTTGGACAAATGACAGGTCTGAGGTTGAACTGCCCGGTTCAGCCTTCCCTCCTCAGGGCTCAGTCCTGATTCAGGCCTGCAGGGCTGGTTTCTAAACAGCCCCTCCCATTCCAATCACATATCTTTGGCTTTTAAAACTCTGCTGCAGGCTGTGGGACCCACATGTGCCTCACTATCCTTCCTCTAGAGTCTGGGTCCCCTACTCACCCCACAGGTCTGGGGAGGACAGCATCACAGTGGTCACCATGACCCAGAGGGTTCTCAGACCCAGCAGACCTGACTCTCCATGAAGAGAGAGCCCAGGGGGCTAAACCAGGAAATAACTAGCAGCCAGTGACCTTCACCTCCATTTCATACTGGAGGCCTCCTTGGTAGGGTCCATGTTTTGGGAACATGCTGGTCCCTCCCTCGTGGCCAAGCATCCACATGCTTTCATTAGCTAGTCAGGTGACCTAGGATCTACATGATTCTTATGGATAGCTAACATGAGTCACAAGGTTCCAGATGTGGCAGGCAAGTACTAAAACAACCAAATATTGAGTCACATGCAAGTCTCCTTTTGTTTATTCTTCATTTTTCTGTGACATTTTGAGGCTTTGCTATCATTGTAGTGAAACTGGAATAGCCCAGAATTATATAATTACACATGCATCTAATTACTATTGTTAATCAGTCTGTAACTCTGAGGGGGAAACCTGGAGTTTGAAATGTGGCATAAACAGTAAGCACACACCTGGGCAGCTGTGTTGTGTTGACCAGCAAGGGTACTCTATATGCACAAAGTTGCTTGTTGATGCTTAGGCTCCTAATATTTTACCCAAAGTCAGGGAAACAAAAGTATGCTCAGGTATTTATTTAGTTCAAAGTAGTTTAAATATAATATTTTCCTACAATAGATGTCATCCATATTTTACAAGGGAGGAGACCAAGCCAAGATTGAGTACCTTGATTAAAGAACTAGAATTTTTCCATAGGAGGAATAAGAGCTACAGTTTGGCTTATGGTGGCATTGTGACTGGATATAATGAGTTCATCTTCTCTCTGTCTCTCCAGTGTATGCACATAAACAGGAACCCCCTCAGTATTCCCACACCTCCCGGTTTCCATCTGCGATGGTGGTCACAGATACCAGTAGCATCAATACTCTCACCAGCATGTCTTCCAGTAAACAGGTAATGCCAACTGGAGGGGCCAGGGTGTGCATGTGCATGCATGTATATGCGTGTGTGTGTGTGTGTGTGTGTGTGTGTGTGTGTGTGCGTGTGATGATTCAGAATGTCAAGATACCAAAGGAGTGAGTAAATGCTCATCCACATGGTTTTATTATGAGACTTTCCTTTAGTTACCTGCTAAAGAGAATCCCTGAAGTCAGAGGGCAAAACAGATAGGCCACAGGCCAAAAGGGCTTATTGCTCCCCAGCAAGAGTATTAAATGCAGACTGAAGTTGGATGAGTCACTGGAATCTGGATGGCACAGTGCTGCTGTCAGACACTGGAATTGAGCATTCCTGACTGGGATGGTTGATGGTCCATGGAAAGGGTTTTTCCAGGATGGGATGGGAAGGTCAGGATGTCTGTTGTGTCACCAGCTTTGCAAAGGTGGTCAGTGGGGAAAGAGAAAGGCGAATGAGGGGTCTTTGGACTGATTCTCTTGGTCCAGGACCCATACGGTGCCCAGGCACAATAAGCCCAAGGACCAGCCTAATTGTGCTAACCCTTTGGGGACTCCCCAGCAGGCAGTGTGACTCTTTCAGAGGATTGTGCCCATTTGATGGTTTATTAAGAAACTTAAACTCAACTTCCTGGTGCACACAAAAGTGGGAGGGGGGGTCTAGCAGCTTAGTCACTGCCTCAGAAGGTGAGTAATCCCCTCCTCCCAAAGAGGTGATGGAGTAATAAAGACAACAGGGAGGGCTGTAGCTCAGACAGCCAGACAGGACACCGAGAACTAGAAAACAGGACACAGTGTCTGAATACAGTTGTGGATTCCAGAGTAACACAATAAGACCTTTCAGCAGCCAGGGTCTGTGTACTGTGGGAACTGTTTGGCCCCTATCGATTGCTAGATAAGGAGGCGACAGCCTTGAACTTCATGTCAGAAGCACTCATCAAGGTTTGATCTCGTTGATGTCTCCCCTCCTCCCCTCCCCCCCCATAAGTCACACCTTACCCACTGCTCCGAGCTTCCAATCCGATTCTTTTATGGGCCCAGGAGTCTTAACTCCTTCCTTGACTCATCTTCTGGCCCTAGAGCGGTGGTTCTCAACCTGTGGGTCATGACCCCTTTGGGGACTCATATCAGATATCCTGTGTCTCAGATGTTTACATTATGATTCATAACAGTAGCAAAATGACAGTTATGAAGTAATGAAACAATTTTATGGTTGGGGGTCACCACAGCGTGAGGAATTGTAATAAAAGGTCACAGCAGTAGGAAGGTTGGGAACCACTGCCCTAGAGTGAAGTAGGGCAGCTTCTACTGCTTTCTTTGAGCCTTCATGTCTTCATCTTGAAAATAACAGTTGGACCTTCTACTGGTTCCAAAGATTTGAAGAGTACGTGTATATTAAGAGCCTGGCATATCCTGGATGCTAAACACATAGCTTGGGTTGCTGGGCTCCAAAATTGGAGCTAGAAGGAGAGGTGTGTGGGACCCACTCTACCACTCTTCTCTCACCCAATAGAAGATTAAAAGACAACCCTCCGTTGCCCTGCCCTTCGACTCCTGACTCCTGTGCCATTTCCCACTCTTTGTAACCATCAGGGAAAACATTTATCTGTGCTCACCAATCTCAGTCAGGGGGGCAGCCAGGCGCAGCAGCCCTCCTTGGGAATACCTTCCTCTTTTAAAGGTTTTATCAATCCATCTACCGCTTGGGCAGCCCTAGACAGGGCAGTGATTAATTAGCCCTGTCTTTCCCACATTGACTTTGATGCTTGCCTGTTGAAACGAGTCCTCTGGATTCAGGAAATAGTCTCTTAACCTGCTTCAAGAAGCTCCCAAAGATGCTGCCGTCTGCCCCCACGTGGTTTCTGCCCTCCGCTGGGCAGAGTGGCTAGTCAACCTTGAAGTTGCAAGGGCAGCTTTCTTGACCCATTATGTCTCTATATTCCAGGACATCTCATAAGGGGCCAGATCCTCATCTCTGCAACATTGAAGATGTTCATTATATGAATAAGAATTATTTAAAAACATTCAGGTGGGCATGGTGGTACATGCTTACAATAGCAGGACAAAGGAAACTGAGGCAAGAGGAGCATTGTCTCAAAAGAAAAATGTAATGGCTTTGTAGTGTATACCTCTCTCTGGTGAACATTGTCTCGTCATTTTCATTCAATTGCAGTCTTCTAAATTCAAAGACATAAACCCAGACTGGAAAGTGATCTACCCAAGGTCATGCAGATGAACTTAGCCCCCAGACATCAGTCAGTCTTTGACTCCAAATCCTGAACTCTTTCCATTTAAACACCTATCCTCTCTCTTGAAAATGCCCATGGTAATCATCAATGCTTTTGTTGTTGTCAGTGGTTGGGAACTTGAGTAAAAAATTAAACTTTGTGCTAAGTTCCAAACAGAAAACTTCCTTCAAACCAAAGCAGAAGGAAGAATGGAAAAGAGTAGACTGGAGTGAAGATGGTCTATACACCCCCTGTTCCAGAGGCACCAGGGACATGAGCAGCTTTTGTTCTTTCTTCATTTTAAATTGTTCTCCATGAAGAGACAGTGGTCTCATAAAGAAACTCTGACAGAGAAGGAAGAGAGATGGTTTCAAAACCATTGCTAGGTGTTAGGGCATGTGAGATATACGAGAGAGAATGGGTCCTTGGTCAAATATGTTCTAGGAACTTCTAGGTTAAACAGAGCCTGCTGGGAAGGGCTTCTCATAACAGTCCATGTGCTGATGTGTGTGTGGGGAACCAGCAGCTAGTGCGTGCCATGCCTGGGTCATGGAGATACACCCTGGACAGTGCTATTTTGTAGGCTTTGTATTGTGGTAGGAAAAACCAGGACACCTGAATTAATTCTGACTCCATCAGTTCCTGCTGTGTGAGCTTGGGCTGTTTTCCCCCACTAAGACTGCTGCTTGCTTTATGAATGGGAAAACCCTACTTTGTCTCAAAAGTGCCTAACAGGCTGTCATGGGCATATTCAGGTGCAGTGGGAAGCTCCCTCTACATTCCTTCTTCTGTCTGTGCTCTTTTATGAAGCCATTGTCTCTCCTTCTGCCTTCTTCAGCATCCACCTCAGTGTTTGGTCTATATGTGGTCATAGGAGGCCCTGGCAGCAACATGTCTCAAGATTATGGTCATTTCTCCTGAAGGCTTATCATCTTAGGTCTAGGCTCTAGATCACTGTTCCCCTTGTTGCTTAGCAGACAGGTTCTCTCTCTCTCTCTCTCTCTCTCTCTCTCTCTCTCTCTCTCCCCTTCTAGAAAAAAAAAGCAAGTGGTTCAGGAGTACCCAAGCCTTTTGTGTTTTGCCAAATGCTTGGGCCATTTGTGACTATTCAATGAGTGGATGGGTAGACAATGCATGGATGGATGGATAGATAGATAGATAGATAGATAGATAGATAGATAGATAGATAGAGGAATGGATTCAGAACAGATACTTTTTAGTACCTCCAATTTCCAACAAACATTTAAGCTGCTGTTCTACCATGTATTATCTGGCTAACCCCCCTATTCCTTCTGCTAAAGAGATATTTTTATGCAGAAAACTGAGGCTCAAAGATGAAGAGAGATATGAATAATTTCATACAATTATAAACCCCACAGCAATCACCTCCCAAGAGCTTTCTTTCTCTCTTGTTTGTTTGTTTGTTTGTTTGTTTTGAGATGATGGTTTGAATGCTTTGGGTGGCCTCTGAACCAGTTGCTGTTTTCCTGGAAGACAGGAGGAAGTGTGCTTATGTGTTAACAGGAAGGGAACAGCATTTGGGAACCTAGATCCAAAAGGAAGGATCTTTGACTGGCTTGGAACTCACTATACAAACAAGTCTGGCATCAATTTTGCAATCATCTTCTTTCATCTGCCTCCCAAGTGCTGTTCACAGGCTTCTGATAGCTATGCATGCTTAAACAGCATAATAATGATGCGGGGTTGGGCATGTATAAGGAAGCTAAATCTAGACTGTAGACTTGTAACTGTCTGATTCCAGTACTTACTGTTGCTACTACAGACCTGCCTCAGTATCCTCCAGGATGGAGTTTCAGGAGTCCTTGGCTGCCAAGCTTCCCCCTGTAGCTCCTGCCACCTGTCCTTTCTGGAGAATTTGTCTCTTTCCCCTTCAGCTCTTGGGTATTGTGTGTTACGTTCTGAGAGGTTTGTGTCTGAGCTCCTGTGTAGCAGAGACTACACCAAGCAATGGCTTCAGTCACAACTAAAGTGTGCTGGCTGTGAGCTGAGCCCTGCTTCCCATAGT